CGCGCCATTAAGGGCAGCCCTTTTCAGTCTCTTTCTTTTTATACTATTTGTAACCAAAACAAGTCCTGCATAAATGGGCATCCCGATATTCCGGATGAAGGGCAGTGTTTTTAGGCTTGTTCCCTAAGCAGACACTCGATAAAGTGGGCAGTTATCTTTGTATGTCTGTACAGTATACTGCTAAATTCCAAAGATCCCATAAGGATGACCAGTATCCAAATATATGTGATGTTTATTGGATTGGCTCTGAACTATATACTGTAATAAACGTTTTCATAGATTTAAAGTGCAATCTTATTACTCTGGGGAATTCTCGTTGAAAACACCGTAGGATACATAAGATAAATTTCGCATCTTGTTCTCGGAGCAGGGGTCAAGTTGTCAAGTCGGCTTATTTCTGTGCATGTGAGTATTGTATTACGGTGTCAAGTATGCAGTTGAATGACACAAACGATGATTTGTTGCTTTATGTTCAGCAGATTTCTACTTCAGTTGGTGACAGTAAAATATACACAGAAAATAAATGTGAAATGCTTAGCAGTTCAAACTCTGAAGAGAAGTATTTGAAATTTTATGACCAATAATAAAGAAAAAAGGGCATAGGTAATTCACCTCCTGTTGACAGCACTCTATGTCATGGTAATGTGCAACTCATGAACACCCGTGTCCTGCATACACCAAATAAAATGGGGGGGGGGCCTAAAAATTCAGAAATTTAGTACAGTAAATATGGAATCCAGCTTTGCGTGGCTCATTTTTGATAAAGGGCATTTGGATGCAGTTAGAAGGGTGCCCTTAATTAATGTCGAGATTCTACTGTATATGTTACTAGTATTAATGATATGCAAGGAACAAACTAACTAAACAGAACCTCGTTAACAAAAAACTTATAAATATGAAATGGACAAACCATCTAAATGTACCTAGTCCACGAAGAATGTAATAACATTGAACGTGTAAACCAACAAAAATTACCTAGAAAATACATTAATAAACAATATCTAACCTACAATCCCTCTAAATCAATCTAGACGACAAAGGACACTAAATTAAATCTTACACTGACGAAAATGGGGATGAGAAGACACGTAGAGAACAATAATGAAAACAAATTACTCAAATAGAACAACGAATTAGATGTTACTAGTAGTAATGATATGTAACTGATGCACAATCTAAACACACCTAGTTAAAGTACTTATTAATAACGAACTAACAAAACCATGAAATTTGCAGTCTACAAAGCAAGTAATATTAACGAACGAGCAAAAACGATTAAATTTACTGAAAATATAAAGTACTAATCAACATTTAACTTAATTTCATCTAAAGAAACTTAGATTACAAATCGTAAATATCTTACTAAAGTCCGAGCACTGATGATGTGAAATACGTAATTCTCCCAGGTGTACATAATAGCAAAGCCACACAAAGGGCAAGTGAATCGCGCCTACCACGGGTATACCAACCATGTGTATATTGTTACGTCTCTGGTCGTTAGTTAATTTTCCGTAAAAATTATTTCCGAAGAAACTTTACCGATACAAGTCCTTTCTTAATAAAACTGGTTTATTCTTTCTGAATACAACTTTGCAATACACTTAATTTCAACAGTCACGCTATAACAAACGCTATAATTTACAACGAACGTCTCACGTGCTCAACTCAACAATACTCTGTTAGCAGTTCAATTACACATTATTCCCCTCGCTTCGTGGCCGGTCTTATATATACAAGACTACCCCATATCTAGTAGTCTCACGACGATTCATGAACGTTCTAGAAGCGCGTGGCGTGTTACTAATGTCACGTGACCTCCGCTGTCGTAACAATATGTTAAAAACTTACCACCGATCCCCTTGGAAGAACAACAATTCTTCACCAAAGAATAATGACGTGGAGGCACGGAAACAGGTGCCGGAAAAAAAAAGTCCAAAGTGTCTATTCATTGTTTATATTCTTCCTCAAAAACATTGTCACGATGAAAAGAAGAAGAAATCGCCAGCCAAATATATGAATCGAGCTCCCTGCGAATTAAGCGTCATACCTCCTGACCATATAAAGTCGAACCCGATTCCTGTGAAGTCGTTATTTACATTTAACGCAATTTCATGTTACGATTTCTTGTAATTCGGGAATAAGAAATAAATGCAAAAAAAAGAATATATTGTAGAAACGTGTGAATACAAACATAGTAAAGGAAAACTGTTGAAGAAAAAGACTGAAATGTCAAATAAACAGTTCATAAACGGTCGCCACATGTGAAAAAAGGACACGTCTAAACAATAGTGTGCCAATCCAGAAAATGCGGATTTAGCGAGAATAGCAGAGGGAGCTAGCTGCCGCCAGTATAGATGGCGTAGTACTATTGGTGGAGAGTAGTTACATAATATGTA